TTGCCTGGTGTTTAGGGTACACGCCGAGCCGGCCGTGTTTACTCTGGGTGTTTACAGTAAATCTCTCGCCGAGATCTCAGCGGCTTCTTTCCACCATAACTTGGCGTCAGGTTTCGGGCCGGGGGTGCTGCTGGGGGGAAGCCGCCGGCTCGTCCTGGCTCTTGTATCCCCGCTGGGACCGGGAAGCAGGAGATGCTCGGCCCCGTTCTACCCCCGATGCTCCCGCTCCCTGCCAGGGTCTGGGGGCAATCCGGGTGGAAAAGCCCCGGGATGGCAAACCCACCGCTTGGGGTTGGGCTGTGCCGCCTGGGTGAGCGCGGTAGCCCCGCGTGCCCCGTTAGCCACCTGAGCACCGTGCCGGGGCGTTAATGGGAACGACCTCATGGGAGCTGCTGGCCCGCTGGGTAACTACACGCCCGCGGAGGGGGGGAGGATGCCGTGAGCCCCCCACGGCTGCCCCACAGCTCAGGGAAGGGGGAAAGCCCTCTGCACCCCCAGACGGACCCCTCCGGGGAGGGCAGCGGGGCTGGGACGTGCTCCCGGGGCTGACACAGGGCGAGACGGCTGCCTGGGCAGCCAGACCTCATTAGCATCACCGCTCGCCGAGCTGACGGACGCGTCGTGCCCCGGAGAGCCGCGGCGCGTTGGCCGCCTGTCAGAGCCGCTCGCGTCTCCCTGACCGCCCAAACCAATTGCAGCCACGTTTGACAGGCAGAGCCGGGATATTAAACCCCCCCGAGCGTCGCTGCAGCCCCAGCGATGGGTGCAGTGGTGGTGGGGGGTGTCCCTGGGTGGTGGTGAGGGGGGCAGCTGCCCTGTCCCCGCTGCCCACGGGGTTCCCCTCTCACCACCCCAGTCTGTGGCAGCATGGACATCCGCAACGACGTCTCCCAGCTCCAGAAGCTGGAGAACTGCTCCATCATCGAGGGCAACCTGCAGATCCTGTTGATGTTCACCACGGGCGCTGAGGACTTTCGGGGGCTCAGCTTCCCTCGCCTGCTCATGATCACCGAGTACCTGCTCCTTTTCCGCGTCTACGGGCTGGAGAGCCTGCGGGATCTCTTCCCCAACCTCTCCGTCATCCGTGGCACCAACCTCTTCTTCAGCTACGCCTTGGTCATCTTCGAGATGCCGCACCTGCGGGACGTGGGGCTGCACAGCCTGGGCCACGTCCTGCGCGGCTCGGTCCGCATCGAGCGCAACCAGGAGCTTTGCCACCTCTCCACCATCGACTGGGGGCTGCTGCTGCCCGACGCTGTGGACAACACCTACATCGTCGGCAATAAGTTGGCTGAAGAGTGCGCCGACGTCTGCCCGGGCATCCTGGACGTGGAGAAGCCGTGTGCGCAGACCAGCGTCAACGGGCAGCTGGATTATCGCTGCTGGACATCCAGCTACTGCCAGAAAGGTGGGTGCCGGCGGCGCGGGGCTCGATCGTGCCAGCTGCTTTGCCGGGATTGTACTGGTTTGCTCCGTGGCGGCTGCGGGGTAAATTGGGAGGGCACTGGGGAAAGCTGGTGGAGCCGCAAGGGGATGGCAGGCCCCGGCACGTGGCCGTCGCTCCCCTGTTGCCGGGAGCGTGCCGTGCCTGCAGCGTGGTGGGGGTAACGAGAGCCATGCTGTATCATCCTCCGGAGGAGAGGCCAGCTCCCGGCTGCCGTGTTTTCCCAGGGGCGAGGTAAATACGGGCCCCTCCCAGGCTCGTTTGCTGTAAACAGAAGACCTGGTAATGAAATATATACTATAAACACAGATCCTTATCGGGGCTGTAACCTCGGCCGCTGCCCCGGCACCGGCTGCACGCGGCAGCTGGGGCTCAGCATGGGCTGAGCCTCACCCCATCCATCCATCTGTCCTGCCGTCTACCCGTGCAGCCCTTCATCCACCCACCCAGCCGGTCCCACAGCCACCCATCCACCCACCTGTCCCGCCGTCCGCTCGCCATTTGGCCATCCCTCCATTCCTCCACCCATTCCTGCATCCCTCCATCTGTCCCTGCATCCCTCCGTCCTTCCCTCCACCCTTCCATCCCTCCGTCCTTCCATTCATCCCTCCCTCCCTCCATCCCTGCATCCCTGCGTCCCTGCATCACTCTATCCCTTCATCCCACCATGCATCCCTCCATCCATTCCTGCATCCCCGCATCCCTGCATCCCTCCTTCCATCCCTCCCTCCCTCCATTCCTGCATCCCCGCATCCCTGCATCCCTCCTCCCATCCCTCCCTCCATCCATTCCTGCATCCCCGCATCCCTCCGTCGCTTCATCCCTTCATCCCTCCACCCCCGCATCCTTCCACCCATCCCTGCATCCCTCCCTCCCTCCATTCCTGCATCCCTCCCTCCATCCCTGCATCCCTCCGTCCCTGCATCCCTCCATCTATCCTTCCATTCCTCCACCCCTCTCCCCTTGCTCCCCACACCCGGAGGGT